ATATATACATATATATATATATATATATACATATATATATATATATATATATATATATATATATATATATATATATATATATATATATATATATATATATATATATATATACATATATATATATATATATATATATATATATATATATATATATATATATATATATATATATATATATATATATATATATATATATATATATATATATATATATTGGTATTTTTTCCCGTGCGTGCGATGCATGGGATCATATTTTAAAAGTGAAAAATATAATCAATTTAATACATAATAAAAAAAATATAATATACTAATCCAGCAAAATTTAAGAAAATTGTACTATTCATATTTTACAACATTTTTTTTAATAGGTTAAGAATTAAAAAATCGAATTTCTATCTTTATCTCATAAATTTGAGATAGTGGCAAATATTTTATATATTTCAGTAGTTGTCTTTTATATTGTAATAACAAATAGAGAAAGAATATCTAAAATTACATAAAAATAAATAAAGAAGAAAATAAATAGAGAAGGAAATAGGGGGAGGGGGCAAAAACACATATCTTATATATAAAAGAAAGAAACGCTGGGCAACCCAAAAAACCGTAATGGCACATCTGTAAATTTGTTTTTTCAATATTTGTCTCCTAAATATTATTTTCGATTTTTATCTCCTTAATATTATTTTAAATATTATTTTCGATTTTTATCAGATTTTTACCTCCTAAATATTATTTTTGATTTTTATCGAATTTTTATCTCCTAAATATTATTTTAAATATTATTTTCGATTTTTATCAGATTTTTACCTCCTAAATATTATTTTTGATTTTTATCGAATTTTTATCTCCTAAATATTATTTTAAATATTATTTTTGATTTTTATTAAATTTTATAACCTAAATATTATTCTAAATACTATTTTCGAATTTTATCAAATTTTTATCTCCTATATATTATTTTAAATATTATTTTCGATTCCTATCAATTTTATATCTCTTAAATATTATTTAAAATATTATTTTCGATTTTTATCAAATGTTTATCTCCTAAATATTATTTTTGATTTTTAACAGATTTTTATCTCCTAAATATTATCTTTTAGTTTTATCAAATTTTTATCTCCTAAATATTATTTTAAATACCTAAATATTATTTTGAGGACCGTAATTAGCTTCTTCAGAAAAAAAAAATTCAAAAATTTCTAAACATCCATTCTAATTTCAATAGGCTTGAAAATTTTGGGGGGAATTTTTTTGTCGTAAAAAAATAGTCGTAGCTTGTTGGATGATTATCTCATCATTTTCATTAATGTTTTATATATTACTCCAATTAACCCCACATGTGAAATCATCTTAATCAAATTTTTTAAAACTTCTCAAATTAAAGATGCAACACTTTTCGATTGATTTTTTTTTTAATTTTGACGAGAATATGAGAAAAAATGCCATAAAAGATTAAACATACATGACGAGCACATGTTTAGTAGTCTCAGTACATTGGTACGGTTGACTATGACTTTTTTTTTATTATTTTAACAAAAAAAAATTATGTCAAAGTTTGACTATTTCGTACGTTGATTCACATCTTTAGGGCAACGCCAATGGTAGGCATTAAAATTGAGTATCAAACTTTCAATTGATGCTTGATATAATACGTTAATACTTCCAAAAAATTCTTGTTTTCCAACCTATAAGTATCAAATAGATTATTATTTAAATAAAATTGATTTAAAAATAAATTAATAGATATAATAATTTTCAAAAAAATTAAAAAAATTCGAAATTAGCTTCATCCAAAAAATTTCGAAATCTAGAAATCCATTCTAATTTCAATAGGCTCGAAAACTTTGGAATTTAAGAAATTCTATAAGTTTTAAAATTTCAAAACTTAGTAGAAATTTTCCAAAAATAAGAACCGCGTCGATAAAAATAAAACGAAGTTGTAACTACTAAATTTCAGTTCAAAAAAAATAAAAAAAAGTTAAATCAAATTATAATATCCAATAAAACTTCTAACAAAAATTCAATATGTCAAAATCCTAAACCAAAACTTGCATTAAATTTAATGCTTCAGAAAAAAAAAAAAAAAAAAGAAAAGAACATTTAAAATAAGTATTATATATTATATTATAATTTATGGGTCTATTTCTCGGGAAAAAACGGATTTTTTCACAATTAATTTTGATAATTAAATTGGATTGAAAATCGAAAATTCCTATTCTTTTTTATATAATTCCAATTCTTATCCAAGAGATTTGGGAAAATTCGAAAATCAAAATTTTGGAAACCGAAATTTCTGAAGTCGGAATGAAAATTTTATTCCAAAATAGAAATTTTTCTGATTGGAACCGGCGAAAATCAAAAGTTCCATTCCAAATTGCATATATATATATATATATATATATATATATATATATATATATATATATATATGTGTGTGTGTATCCTTTTTTGGGAAGTAAAATAGGAAACAAAAATTGAAATACATAAAGATAGATATTTGTGAATAGATAGATAGATCCAGGTCAAGCTTATGTCAGAATTATCCATAGCAGATATGGGCAATTGAACTTTATGGATAAGTCAAAGAATACATTTCTATTAGGTGTCAACCTATCCATAACTTGAAGCTCATTACTTTTTACTCTTATATATACATAAACCCATACCATATTGTACAACTCAATACCTACATTCAATTATTCCCCATATTTTAACGATCAAAACCAAAACAAAATAAAACACTAACACTAGAGAAGAAGAAATTAATACAATGAGGGCAATCTCTTTATACTCATCTGCTACCTTACTCCCTCAAACTGTTCCCCATGATGTAAATAATAGGTACTATTATTTTCATTTTGATATTAATTTTTTTATTTTTTATTTTTTATTTTTTTTCACATTCATTTTGTGGGTTCCTCAATTTGTAATTTTTATTTATATTTTGGCATTTTTAGGTGTGTTTTAGTGTCTTCCTCATCAGCTGTGATCAAGTATCAGGCTTCGCCCACCAGACGACGTAGTTTAAGAACTAGCAATATTAGAGGTGCTCCCAATTTGAGGTAACATTTATTCAATTTGGTTATTTGGTGTTTAATTAGCATATTGGGATTTTTATTGAAAAAGAAAATCTCATTTTTTCATAATTAAATCAATCCCCTGCAACTTGTAATTTTTTTACATTAACACCCTTTTATAGGCGGTGGCAGAAATTTATAAAACTACATATCGCTGAATGTAATTTTTCAAAAATAAAAATTTCTTTTTAATTACACTTTACCTGGTGGAGATTGTTGTAATTTCAGCGATTAATACATCAGTGATTTCATTAATTAATACACACGTGACATGTAACACTATCTTTTTTTCAAATGAAATATGAGATGTAGATGTCATAATAATCATAGACACCGAATACGGTCTAATTATTTGATTATGTATCATAACTTATCTTATAAGAACAAAAAAAAATGTATATATATAATAAATTTATCGCAAACTATTAACGATTTTGACGAAATTGTACTTGTACATATTGTTCTTGAACATTCGATTTTTTATTTTAAATTTTTTTCGTTTTTAATTGCAGTGGGATGGCTACAGAGACCAGAAATCTGCAGTGGACTATTGCTCCGACCTCTGTTCCGGTTCGTGTAGCGAATGAGCTTCTTCAAGCCGGTCATCATTATTTGGATGTTAGGTGATCTAGTTAATTTTCTTGATTAGCTACTAATAAGACTTCCTTAGTTAATTTAACGCTTCAATTAATATTAATATTAGTATTAATATAATATCTCTATGGTTGATAATCGATATTTGATTATTGCATAATAATTTACAGGACCCCGGATGAATTTAGCGACGGGCACGTTGTTGGCGCCGTCAATGTTCCTTTCATGTTAAGACTTGGTCCAGGTTCGCCATCGTTTCCGTTATTTTTTGGACATAAATATTAAGGATGATGAAATAATTTTAAAAATATATTATATTTTTCTTTAGAGAAATGATACAAAATCCCCTCCGAATTAAAAGCTACCTTAAAATACATTTTGTTGTCGGAGGGCATTTTTGTTATTTCAATCTAATAATCGCCTGAAACCGTCACAAATGCCATGAGCTCTAAGAATTTGCCTTCGACTATATTTATTAATTATTAGTTATTATGACAAGGGAATTTTCGTTAAGTATTTAATTTCTCTCTATGATTTGAAAAGGGGTTGTACGATTCGAATCTCATTGACATCCATTTACGGAGAAAAGTACCTTTACTTTCACGGGCTAGATTTCAAGCTGTCGAAGATATTAAATACATAATGTTTCTAAATTTACTAGTAAAAACGGTGCCATTAATCAATAATTATGAATCCTTAGAATTGCTCGTGTTTTGATTAGTTATTTTAACCCTACTTGTTCGAATTATTTTAACATGTGATGTAGTGAATCATAATACGAAATCGAAATCAACAAATTTTTAAACGTTCGAGTCTGGTTAAGCAGGTATGGCAAGGAATCCAAAATTCTTGGAGCAAGTGTTGGCTATTTTTAGGCAAGATGATGAAATTATTGTTGTAAGTTCATGTAAATTGTTACTGTCTTATTAAAAAAAATTAATTATTTTTGGTGCTAAATATTAGTATTTGTGGCATTTTATAAATTTCAGGGATGTCAATTAGGGAAAAGGTCGTTCACGGCTGCTTCCGAGCTCGTATCTGCTGTAAGTTTCCGTCTCTTCCCAAATTATTCGCCTGCGTTTTCGTGTACAAAAAATTGAATAGTTGCAATATTTTGTGGGTCGTACTTTTAGTCATGTTTGAATTAATTTTAGATAGCAAATCTATCCGATATCTTTATTTTGTGTAGCAATTCTGGGTTTTTACTATACTGCTTAGGATGAAATACACCGAATACGTCTTTAGTATTCATATACACACAAACACCCACACACCCACAGGTATGTGTAGACAACGATAAAAATTCACTTGGTCTAATCTTCACCGGATTTAGCATAGACATAATCGCAATTTTGATCCGGTTCTCACATAATATTTTCGTGAAAAAACATTGGAAAAATGCGCGACGCTTCTTTAATTTGAGGATTCTTTGTCGTACAAAACTAATCATAGCTTGTTGAATGATTATCATTTTCATTAATGTTTTATATATTACTCCAATTAGCCCCACATGTGAAATTATCTTAGTCAAATTTCTTTAAACTTCCCAAAATAAAGATGTAACACTTTTCGATTGAACTTTTATAATTTTGACGAAACTATGAGAAAAACTGCCGCAAAAGAATAAACATACATGACGAGCGCATGTTTACTAAACTCAGTACATATGTATGGTTGATTCCGAATTCTTTGATTATTTTAACAAAATAAAGTACGTCAGAGTTTGCCTATTTCGCACGTTGATTCACATCTTTAGCCATTACTACTTTAATTAGGTTACCCAATAATTTCTTGAATTATACCTCTTTGTTAAAAATTTGATAAGCAATTTTCATAATATTTAAATAATTATCTCTTGCCTTATAATTAAAGCTAATGAAATTATTTAAATAACTTGTAGGGTTTTACTGGAATTACTGATATGGCTGGAGGATATGCTGCTTGGATACAAAATGGACTTCCTTCCACGTAGACTAAAATTCTGGAAATATGTAAAATATATTAAATTAATGTATATTTCTTTTATCTGCTACTTTAAATAATAGAATGTCTCACATACTTCCTGTATATAACCACAATCTGAATATTAATGTTTTATTTGGACAGTATTGTATACAAAAAGTTCTTCTTTACTTAGAAATTGTATACAAAATTAAGAATATTAGTTTTTTGTTCGAAAGCTATACCAACTTCTCAAATCTAGAACTAAAAATATTAATTAACATGACTTTAAAGGACTCTCAAACACATTTAAGAATAAATTTAATTTAATAAATTAAAATTTAGGATTAATTGATTAGTTTGTACCAGAAGGCGAAATCCATCGCCTCCAGGGCTCCCATCGCTTGGCCCGACAAGTATTTGATGGAGAAATGTAAATTATGGTGACTCAACGGCCTGTTAAGGTAGCGGACCCGGACTTGGTGCCCATAAGGAACCAACCCTCATTGGAGTTGAAATTTCCACACTGAGGCTACCAGGATTCGATCATAGGACCTTGTACCAACGTACCACCTTCGGAACCAGTTGAGCTATATCCATGCGGGCAGACTAATTGATTTAGTTGTGCATTGCTAAGCATGAATGTTGGCATAACAAGTACTCCTTTTGTTTCATTTTAGAATACTCCTTTTCTTTCATTTTAAGTGTCGCAAGGTTAATGCACATCAGTTATTTGACAAAACTACCCCTGTGTGTTTTTCAACTTACTTTTATTACGTCATTAATTTGTTATTAATGCTGGGTAAAGTCGAAGAAAAAAGAATTGTCTAACATTGAAATTCCAGAGTGACACTTAATATGAGAAAGTAAAATTAGTTAAGGAGACACTTAAAAAGAAACAAAGGGAGTAATATGAGTATTAGAAATGGGGTTTTTTGCAAAAACCACCCTTGTGAAATCTCAAATGGCTAAAAAAGTCCCCATGTTAAAAATATTAGCAAAAACCCCCCTATGAAAATTAGTCAAAGCCAGAAAGTCCCCTGCGGGCTGATTGTGTGTTACACGCGCTGTGTGTGCGACTCTTTGTTATATTTTTTGTCATGAAAAGTCCCAAATGCCCTCTAAAATTATTTTATAACTAAACATAAATTTATTTGGATTTAAAAATAAATAATCCAACTTTTTGGATGAAATTGCAATTTAAAAAAATTTATTTACACAACTTTTTCTCAGCACCATTTCATCGTCACCATCAAACCATCCTTCCAATAGTGCAACCCATATCCCCACTATGTACCTCATTGCCGCCGCCACATCGACGACTATCGGTGCTCCAGAATTTATCGAAATCTTCATCAAAAACGAATTCAAGTGTAAAAGCCCTACTTTAGGGTCTGAGGTTTTGGGCTTTCTCAACATAGAGAAAGAAGAGTGCCAAGATTCAATTTTCAATAGGGCCGCCCTAACCCTCGAGACAGAGAAAGAAGGGACCAAATTCCAGATCCAATTTTTTTTTTATTCCGGATTTTGGGATTTTGGAACAAAGAAGATTCACCCATATACACAGGGGCAGAGATTTAATTTGTGAGTGTAGCTCCACAATGGAATCCGCCGCCGGTTTGCATCGTCACACCTTCCTCGATGCTGGTTGAACCTCCGTTTTTCTGCGGTCCTTATATTAGGGGAACAAAGAAGATTGTTGGAATTTTGTTAGTTTTTTGGGAATTTCTGAAGGAGGGGACGGAGAAGAGGATGTAAGTGGAGGGGGAGGGGGTACAACGACAAAAAGAGGGAGGAGGAAGGAGATGGAGAAAAAAACAAAAGAAAAATAAAGTTCCTACCGGAGAAGATGACCGGAAACAAGAATCCGACCCAGAATATGTTCTTGGGATTTGGATATTTTACTTTATTATTATTTTTTAATTAGGGTAGTTTAGTAATTTCACATGGGTCAACAGCGAATTTTAAAATAAGGGGCAGTATACTTTGTCAAAAATAACATAAGGGCTTTCTTGCTAATATTTTTAACACAAGGGTCTTTTTAACCATTCGAGATTACACAGGGGGTTATGTGCAATTAGCTCATTAGAAATGAGATTTAACAGTAAGGGTAAATTACAACCATCTCTTGAGGTATGGTTAAATTACGAAAAATCCCCTTATGTTTGGATAATTACATCTACCCCTCAACTATGAGTCTTCTTATATCTCCACCCTTATGGTGTCAAATTCAACATAATCATCTAGATTTCGCGGACTGTTCTCTAGTTTGTACTCGTTTTGTGCAAAAATACAGTTTCTGATGCACCACAATCTGATATAGACTAGCCAAAAAACATATTTTATGATCATCTTGTTTCAAAATGTGGAGTTCGAATTGGTATGAAACGGGTACAAAATAGAGAATATTCCATATAATCTAGAATATTCCACTAAATTTGAAACCATAAGGGTCAACATATAAGAATATTTATAATTAATGGGTGGTTGCAATTACCCAAACATAAAGAGGTATTTCGTAATTTAACCATACATCAGGGTTGGTTGTAATTTACCCAAACATTAATTGAGAATTGGAAAAATCAAATGTTAATTATGAGAGATTGGTTGAGTGGCCGCGTTGAAAGAGTAATAAATAAAATTCAAACAAATGATTCAGTACTATTAAATACCAGTAGTACTTGTTTGAATTTTAATATAAGAGAATCGTTTCAATAATGAAAATATAATAAAAATTGTATAAATTCATTGAGTTCATGAAGACGGAAACGACCCGAAAGCTTACCCAATGAAGTTGAAGTTTTCTAGACCCGGCCCGCCCGGCTGGACTCAACCGGGTAAAATTCTTGAAAGTTTCAACTAAGAAATAGCCACCCATTTTTCTAGCTTTGATTGGTTATTTTTTTTGAAATAACTAGTGGACCAAAAGAAACATTTAACACGTGATCACTGGTGGACAATTTGAAATCCTTACACAACACGCTCTTAATTTTGTCAAACAAATTAAAGAAACCATCGCTTTCTGTTATGTATGTATGTCTTTGAAAATCAAAAGGGTACACAAAAACGTCTCTTACAAAATTGTTGAAGGTTATGAATTAATGAATGAATTAAATAAATAATATACGTAGGGGTTGATACAAATGTTATTTCAAATGTACTATCAACTCTTAACTAGATTTTTTGCCAAGCAAAATGCTTCGTGGAGAAGTAGAACAAACCATAATTAAATTAAAAAAAAAAATCAATAATGCTACTCGGAGATATACATCGCATGATTTCACATCACATGTATTACTGGAACTTAATATTGTCTCTACTTCAGAATTCCTGTCGTTTAAGGTTTCGGTGCAAGTATTATGAAAGCTAATAAATACGTATTGATTCAACAAAATAATTTTTTTTGTATTTTAAATTAATTGTGACCTTTGTATTCCTGCATTATTTATCACTTTGAATTTCAATATTACAGTGGTTAATTGTCCTTTTCTCTTCATATTTGCCCTTACTATTTCGAAATTCTATCAAATATTATTTCTCACAAGCAGCGAAAGTCATTAACAAAAAGAGAATTATTAGCATTCTTAGTACATGTAATGTAAGTGTTGAACTCTTAAACCACAGTTATTTTAAAATAGAGATAAGTGTATAATAGGACTAAACTATCATTCCAACTAAATTTTCTTTTTTGTTATAATTCATTTCTCTATTTATGAGAATTTAGGATAAGAAGCCTAAAAAGAAAAGCAAGTTGAATATATTGGTGTTATAAAATGACGGAGGATGTGAAAAAAAAATCTAAACCGACAATTAATTTAAAATAGTTAAAATAAAATAATAATACATGATCACTCAAGTTGGGTAGTTCGCGAGTCCCTCGATCTAGTTGACCGGATATGCAAGTGGTCAATCACTGCATACAACCAAACAACGAAGAAAACTAACTCGTCGCATAATTAGATGTTTTTTTTTTCGAATTATTGTGTTGTTTGGGCTTACGCCATATCAAATAGTAATTATATTAATCTTCTCAAGTAATTGATTAATAAATATTTTAAATCCCATTAAATATCCACAGTCAATAGAAAATAATAGGACAATGAATCTAGTAGCTTTGAATGGTTCTTTGCTTTCGACAAACGTACATTATTAAATAATTTCATCTGCCAGCTTCAGAAAAATCGTTGCCGGACGCCAAGTTTGATGTACATTAGCCATTAATATAGCATGGAAAATTTGGTGGCTTTTGTTTCGTCTTTTGATGTGTTCTCCACAACAAAATCTCCCTCGTTCCCAGGGACCCCGTTCATTGACACGACAAGTATTTGATGGAAGGACGTAAATTTACGGTGACTCAACTGCCCATTAGGATAGCAAACTCGGTCCTGGTGCCTACAAGAAACCAACCTGCATTGAGTTAAAATTCCACATAGTGGTTGTCGGGATTCAATCCTAGGACCCTGCACCAACTTACTATCCCGTAACCAGTTGAGCTGTACCCATACGGGCCATAATCTCACTTTTGGTTTTTTCTGAATAATTGTCGTGGACAACTAAACATTCATTTTCGAATTGCTTGATTTCAATAATGGGAAAGTAACCAAAATGCCCTCTTTATTTTTACTTAATTTTAATAAAATCTAGTGTTGTAATTTAAGGCGTGTTGGGTTAGTGGCTTACGGCCTCGTTTGCTTGGTGCTATTAACCTCTATTAACTAAATTGTAGGCGTTGGTAAGATGTTTGGTTGATGAGATTCGTATTTAGTCAAGCCCGCTACTACACTCAAAGCCCGCAATTAAGTGATATTATTTGGTTAAATTAGTAGCACCCCTCCCCTGCGATTAATTTTGTAGGGGGTGATTAAAGGAGGAAAATACAATTTTATCCTTAAAACAATATCTTAATTTTTTAAATTAAAATACTTTTTATACAATTCACATTAAATACCAGAATTTAACAAATTTAATACAAGATTTAATTTAACGAATCAAGCATCTTACTGACTAAATAATTAATTAGTCAGTGAGATATTAATCCAATCTCACCTAATCCAATGTAATCCGATATAGGTAAGCAAACGAGGCCTACTGCTATTAAGTTCTACTGACTAAAATAGTAGGGAATAATAAGATCTTCAGTTGACAAAAATCGTATTTATTAAAACCAGCAATTAAAGTTGAAGCCCACAATTAAATGTTATTATTTCATTAACTTAGTAGCACTCATTTTCCTTGCGATTAATTTTATCGGGTGACTACAAAGAAAGAAGACAATTTTATCCTTAAAACGATATTTTTCTTATTGTTAACTAAGTGTTTTTATAGACAATTTACATATAAATATAATGATTGAATTCGACAAATTTAATAGGAGATTTATCTGCAAAACCGAACATCTTATTAGCTAAATAATGAGTTAGTTAGTAGGAAATTATTTCAATCTCATCTAGTCGTAACCCGGCGAGCCCTTAGTCATTTTGCAGTAGTTATAAGTATGGCACCTATTTTGCCGGGCCGAATTTGAGGAGAGGCGAAGTAGGCGATTGCCTAGAGTCACTGGATTTTTGTAAAAATTAAGGGGCCCCAAATATTTTTTATAGCCTTTATATGTTAGTATTTATTCAAAAAATAATATTATGTATAATTGTTGAGAACCCTAATTCATAAATAGATATTGATTAACAATTTTTACTTGTTTTTATAATTCCTCTAATCATGGGGCTCCGAATTATTAAATTTATAGTGCATTAACTATTGATTTCTATATATTTACACTAGGTTTAGTGCTACTTAATGAAAATTATTCTTAAAAAGAAATTTGGGACGCAGCCCCAGAACTCCTAGAAACCATAATATCACAATATCAAAATTTTATAGCCTTGCCTCTGGCTATATACCTAACATCAACGAGTTAACATCGAGTTTATCATCTTTTTAGAAAAAAATAAGTTTTAACATTAATTGTAGAAAGGTCCCATTTTTCAACCATCTTCAACTTTCGCCTAGGGTCCCCAAAATCTCAGAAACAACCCTGTTTGCCGGTTTAATTACCGGTCATTTTAACGACATGGTAATGGCATCGGGTCAAAACCTATAACCAGATATGGAATTAGAATGCAATATTTTGTCTATCAGTGGTTATCCATGAACCAAACAAGGCTTTTGAAAACCTTATCAATCGATCATAGGGAAAAGAAAAGGTTAGCTCATCAATAATACCAAAATAACAGATAACTTATCTTTCAGTTTCCTTGATACTTGAAAAACTAATTCAAAAATAAGAATGAATTCGTTGACTAGTGGATTTTATGACATAAAACAATACTACATATTTTTTTGAAAAAATGTCAATATTGGAAACATAGTTGTTTAAGGCTTGTTTGGTTGGGAAATTTTAGTTAGTATCAACTAAGTAATATAACTTTATTTCATGTTTCATATCCTCAATTACTTGTTGGATCCGTCCATAAATATTATATTATCATAGTTTATTTTATTTTATCTTTCCTTTTTAGGGATTTCTTTTTTTGGACAATCTTGGGATCGGGTAAAAAAATTAAGAGCCACGACGTAGGGGGTGCTTGGTAAACTTATACGATGTGACAAAAAACTTATAAAATGTTTAAGAATTAGTCCAATCTCATCTAGTTGTAAGCCGAAGAGGCCTTAAGTCATTTTGCAGTAGTGATAAGTATGGCACCTATTTTGCCGAGATAATTACCTGTCATTTTGACGACTGAGTAATAGTATCGAGTCAAAACCTGTAACCAAATATGAAATTGGGGGCAACTAAAACGAATCCCAATTTTTTCTCACTTCAATACCTCCAAGTTTAAAACCATTTTTTATAAAAGTTTTTACAACTTTTTCTTAGTTTAAAACCATTTTTTATAAAAGTTTTTACAACTTTTTCTTAGTTTAAAACCATAAATAAAAAATATTGTTAGCAAAGTACAAAAACGCTCTTCATCAACCAAAATACAATTTATGCAAATAATTTTTTTATTCCTCACTTCAATACCAAGGAAAAGAAGAAAAACAAATCCTCTCTTCTTCTCCCCAAACTCAAATCCCTTAAACCCTATCTTCTTCATCTTCTTAAATCCTCCAAAACATCTCCAAATTCAAGAAATCAAAACCTCACAAAACTTATAAAATGGAGTTATGAGACAATATTATGGTAGTATATATGGAAAGAGAACTCATTAAGGTATGTATCCATGATTTTTTTAGCTTCGAAGTCGATTTTGAAGTTTTTTGTTTGAAACCCGCCGGCAATTTTCGACACATACAGGTCGATTTTTTGGTCAATTTTCGACACCAAAGTGTCGGAAAAAAAAACAAAAAAAACAAATTTCGACAAATTTCGACAGGTATGTGTCGAAAAAACACTGTTGGTAATTTATTTATTTATTTATTTTTTATTTTTTTTTATTACCAATAGTGTTTTCCGACACATACCTGTCGAAATTGGGAGAAATTTCGACAGGTATGTGTCGAAATTTGTTTTTTCTTTTTTCTAAATATATTTTTAGACACGTTGGTGTCGAAAATTGACCAAAAAATCGACCTATATGTGTCGAAAATTGCCGGCGGGTTTCAAACAAAAAAAACTTCAAAATCGACTTCAAAGCTCAAAAAAGACATCGATACTTACCTTAATGTGTTCTCCTTCCATATATACTACCATATTATTTTCTTATAACTCTATTTTATAAGTTTTGTGAGGTTTTAATTTCTTTAGTTTTGAGATTTTTTAGAAAGATTTGTTGTGAGGAAGAAGAAGGAAGAGGTTGAGGGATTTGTGAAGAAGAAGATGGGTTTGAGGGATTTTGTGTGTTTGTATTGAAGAAAGAAAAATGATTTTTTTAATATTTGTATTGTATTTATTTTCATAAGGGTATTTATGTTATTACTTATTTATTATTCAATTTTTATTTTCTTGGTATTGAAGTGAGAAAAATTTGGGATTTGTTATATTAATTCCCTGGTGAACTTAGAATGCAATAGTTTGTCTATCACTCGTTATCTATGAACCCAAACGAGGCCTTTGAAAAACTTATCAATTGATCAAAAATCTGCGACTTTATTTTTTTAATTTTTTAATTTTTTTCCAAAAGAACTGCGACTTAGTATACAATCTATTTTGTCCACATAAATTTCCATTTTTAAAACATGTATTTTGTTAAATAAATTTATCCACGTCTTTTATAAAATTTAATTTTATAATTGACCTACACAACGCAAACATGCCAATAAAAGTCAATAAGCAGCATGAAAATAAAAAAAATAAAAAAAATAAAAAAAATGTGAAATTACTATAATTAGAAAACTTAGCAGAGAGTACTACTACTAACGATTGTAAGATATTTCTAAAACTTCCGAAATAAATACAAAAATAAGTAGATTAGGAAAATAAAATACAATAAATACTTCATCTTATTGCAAACCAACACGAGTAAGTAAAGTAAACAATCTCCCACCGATTAAAAACAAAAAAAGAAAAAAAAAAAAAAGAAATATTATTTAATTATCATTACATATATATACATATCTCCGACAGCTGGTTCCTTAATCACCTGAACAAAGAAAGAGTCCTCCATTTTTCTCTCTCTATCTATCGTGCATCCCCAATGGAGTTTTACGCTTACCCTTCTAATTCTTTCCGCCCTTCTTCTTCGCCGCCGCCGCCGCCGTCGTCTTCTTCTTCTTCGGCTTCACCGGAGGAATCTTGTTCTCCGCTCGGGTTTTTAGTCAACAAGATCAAAGAATTCGCTCGATGCGCCGTCTCCGCCATTCTCGGAAATGTTTTCTCTGCAATTTTCACATTTTTCTTTGCCTTGGGTAAGCAATTCTTTTTGCCCCTCACCTTCCTTATGCTGAATTTTCTTTACCATTTTTTTATTTTATTTTAATTTGTTGACGCGAATTTGTTTTTTAATTCGATTTTCTACGGTTTTGTGATCTGCGTATGTATATATATATAGTTCTGATCTAGGTTTGTTGAATTTTTTTCCACAACAATTGGCCTCAATTTTCGATCATGCTTGTGCCTGAAATCTTAATTAGGGTTTCTAGTTGATGTTTCCCCCAATTGGGTCTTTTTTTTCATTTATTTTTGCAAATTGGGTCTTATTTTTCATTTATTTATGCAAATTGGGTCTTTTTGTCATTTATTTTTGCAAATTTTTGTCTTTTTTTCCATTTACTTTTGCAAATTGGGTTTTTATTTTCATTTATTTTTTTGCAAATTAGGTCTTCTTCTTTATGTGTGTGTGTGCGTGTGTGTGTGTGCGTGTGTGTGACTGTTTAGTTTTGAGGAACCAGCTTTTCAATTGTCCAATGGAGGTATTATTCGGGTCCGGGGGTTGATAATCTGCAATCGAATTGATCATTCGAATTTAATATATTATAATCAGTGATTGTTCCGAACAATTTTGTTAAGACGAAAATACGTATTCTTGAATTAAGCTAACGGAGTTGCCCCTTTTTTTGCGTCTCTGTAGTGGGTACCTTATTGGGAGCAATAACGGGAGCATTGATAGGCCAAGAAACAGAAAGTGGCTTTGTTAGAGGGGCTTCCGTGGGGGCAATTTCGGGGGCCGTTTTTTCTATCGAGGTCTTCGAGTCATCTCTTCTTTTATGGCAGTCCGATGAATCCGGTTTAGGCTGTCTCCTCTACCTCGTAAGCCAAAATCTTTACCTCAAAACAAATGCTATTTTTTTTTTATTACGAGCACTGTAAGTATAATCGTTCAATCTGAAAAAAAATTGTGCAGATTGATGTGATAGCGAGCCTTTTAAGTGGTAGGCTGGTGCGTGAGCGTATCGGGCCGGCTATGCTTAGTGCAGTGCAAAGTCAGGTACGAGAATACGTCATTTTTCGAGCTTCTTTATAAGGGTGTGCCGCTCTGGATTTAAATTTGTTTTATTTTTACTGAATTGAGTTCAATTATGTTAATCAGATGGGAGCTGTTGAAGTACCATTTGAGGAGGTTCCGAACATATTTGATATAGGTGGGGCGAAGGGTTTATTGGTGGACTCCGTTGAAAGAATCCCGAAATTCACAATTACTCGAGACGAAATCGTCGATACTCCTGGAGATGGAGTATCTTGTTCGGTTTGCCTTCAGGTTCTCTCTCTCTCTCTCTCTCTCTCTCTCTCTAAACATCCAATAAGACCCAATTATTTAATCATTTAATTAATCATGGCTAATCTTACCAACCAAACGAGGCCTTATTAGATTAATCAAAAGTCGAAATACAGAATGTTATGGCTTATCTTGTAGACCAAAACGAGGCGTTAATTGATAATTGGAATTATTTTTTAAAAAATCTCACTCTTTGTTTATTAAACAATTTTATATAGGACTTTCAAGTAGGGGAGACTGTTCGCCGTTTGCCACAGTGTCACCACATGTTTCATCTACCTTGCATCGATACTTGGCTTGTGAGACACGGTTCTTGCCCACTGTGCCGAAGGGATCTTTGATATACTACTTATTCTTCTTCTCTCTCTCTATCTCTCTATCTCTATGACATGAAAAAAAAAGACCGGTTCTTTGATTCCTTAACACTTGTAGGGTTTCAGTACTATATATTAGATGAACCCTCGGTTGTAGAATATTTTTTCGATGCAGCACATATGTAATTATTAAGCACTAGTATGAGAGTATGGCCATTGCTCCGTCATCATTTTGTTGTAAATCAAATTTTCACCTTGTGATAATAGTGTATTTCCTCGTCGTATTTTTAGAGTGAGAATTATCATGTTCTACGTTTGATTGTTTCGGGAACTCTTAAGAATATTAATAATTAATAATAGTCCTCTGTAGATTTGTGTGACCTAAGGCGACGCGCTAAAATGTAGTAATCTTTAGTACAGTTATTGCTTCTTTAGTGTTTCCTCGATTTGCCTGTATGGAGGTTTATTGGTGAGAGAAGGATTTATATGTACTTGGATCGGATATAATGGCTATGTTTTTTGTGATCGTTTGAAAAATGAACTGAATTTTTATTGCGTCGATGAACCTTCTACTGAAGAAAGTTGTATTTGGATGGAATGATTTGTATTTAAGGGGATACCGTGCAGAAACGGTTTTAAACGACTCTAAACGTGACGGATTGAAATTGATCACAATTTTCGGTTGCTTACCGGAGTATTTGAAGATTTTATAATTAAAGAATGGGAGTAATTGATGCATATTCATTAGTATTAAATTAAAGGGTAAATTACGAAAAATTCCGTTCCTCACCTATTCGTAATTACCAAATTTCCCCAATATTTTCCAAAAACAAATGTTGATTCTACACTTAAAAACAGTCTCTTAAAGCCTCGTTTGGTTGTCAAGATAAGACTAAATAATCTAAAGAAACTCAATTGTTTTATTGGCCCTTGGAAGTTCCAACAAAAAACATGCTGAAGGCAAGATAAGCCATGATAACATAATCTTTGTTGGTCGACCTGGTAAGTTATTGAGGTCTGAGGATACCAAACATCAAACAAAGTCCAATTATTTAGTTAATAATGTTTAATCTTCCCAACCAAACAAGGCTTAAATGTAGGTGGTCTTGGTAAACCTTCTACAGTATCCTGATTTCCTTCAACATTATATTGCAATTTCACTACACATCATGGATTGCTAACATGAAACTTCCGTGTCTCGTTACCTTCAATATGTTCCACGTCTGCAGGGTAGAATCGACATTTTTCACGGACTATTCCCTTAAATAAAAAAAATCCATGAAAAATACACCATTAAGGGGTTGGTGTAAGACGAAAACAAATGTCGGGTGATTTTGATGATTACGGATGGGGGGGGGGGGGGGGGGGGGGGGGGTTCGTAATTTATCCTAAGTGTTGAGCGGGTTTTCTTAGTTTACCCTAAATTAAAACTTTATTTTCTAAAAGAAGATAATAATATTTTTCGTTGATTAAAATCCAAACAAGCATGGGGAAGTGGTAAATCATGAGAAGTATAATTTGGAGATTTGATTATTCCCTACATTCGCATTTGCAACTATACATAGTGATACATACAAAGTGATACTGTATAAATAAAAATTATAGGGGCGTAAATGGTGGAAAAACGGGTATGTAACGATGAATTTGAAGGAAATGTAGATCATGAACCAATGGATTATCTGTTCTTCGGGGCGGAGATACGGACCAATCACACGTCTTCGATGAGCATCCCTGGCATCCACCTAATAACTCGTCACTTCCATTCCTTCTCTGAATCATTTTCAGAATTCCATTCCATTCTTCTGAATTCATTTGGCTGCATATTTATAGATATCAGTTGAAACGTAAAAATTAAAATAAAAATAATTATAATAACAATAATGAAATTATAGTTTTTGTCCTCTATGTTAGCCTATTTAGCATTCAGTCCTCTAACTAATCATGTTTCGAGTTTACATACAATAGCTTTGAAAATTATAGTCTTTTTGTTCCTATTTTGCATGATTTTTTTAATTTTATGACGACGGATTTTACTTATGTGGACGCTTAAAGTACATAAATTCACATTTGACTCAGCTTCGATAGAACTTTAATTATGTGAGAAGATAAAAATATAGACGAAATTAGAGCCAGGAACGCCATTTATAATATTTAAATGTCCATATATATAAATTCCTGCGAGTTTGTTAACTACATCATTATAGAAGGGATAAAAAAA